CACCCCCAGCCGATTCCGCCCCTCCCCCCGATACACCAGACGTTTAGGCGAAAAGAAACTTGAAACATGCGCGCAAACATTTTGGGAATTCCGAAGTGCAAACCCAGCCTAGCGCCACTACGCCAAAGGCAGCGAGCGAAAGCACCATACACAGAACCAAGGCACACGATCACCAGGACTTCGAATCCCCCCCCACACCACTTCCCCCCACCAAAAGCCCAACACACGACCTCTAGCCCAGCCTTATTGTTCCCGCGACTGTTTTGAAAGACTGTCGGATAGCATCGTCGCAAACACGCGCCTTTCACAGCGGTTTCCGCCCACGGGCCAGAGAACAATGTCACCGAAATCCGCGACAGAATCAGCGTGGGACCCTTCCGCAGAATCGCGAGCGATGAGCTCAAGCAGTGCCAACAGGGATTTCGGGTTAGTGAACGGCGAGAAAGGCACCCGCAGCACACGCGGCCTCACGCGTGAAGGCGGCCAGGAAGCGCAGCCGCGCTGCGGGGCATGGCAGCGCAAACAATGCCTCACACCATATAAGCGAGGCACCAACGTCACCGTCACAGCATGGACCGCCACCGAAATGTTATAATCACAATAGGCTTAGATGTGCCTATAATGAGAGATAGAGAGCATAGTCGGATTTTCGTCAGACAGCTTCAAATATTGATAACGATCTGCACGCTGAGTCAAACGGTGATCTGCTAACTGAATCTGGAGCGCGTTATTGTCGTCTATCAGCAGCAAGTTGAATCATGAAATTCTATGAAGATTTGACGACGCTATGACGGTTTGACTGGAAGGAGGTATAGCAGCCACTATAGTCTTAGAAGTACAAACTTAGCAAGAAGAATTCGAGAGAGAGATGGTTCCCAGCCTCTACATACCCCAACAGCCGAGGTCCAATTTGGTGGTACACCACCACAGAGTCCCCAACCATGAGGAGACTCGAAACAAACCCAACAAGGGGCTACACCGAGTGAAATGTAACACTACTTGAAGTAGCATTACTATTTTCACTACTTTAATATTTGTCCACCTCCCTTGGGCTTGAAATCTTGAGCTCTTGGTCTTAGTTTTGCAAGATCAACTCTTCTTGAGTTGATGGGGGCTTGCTGCACACACGTGCGACGCGATGGACACTTCACACTCGACAAAATAGAGAAAACACATGCGACACGCAAATGCGAGTTGTGAAATGCGAGTTGACATGCGAGTTGTGAAAACTCGCTAATGTCTTGACCGACACAAACCACATTGTGATACACCATTCAAAGACACACACAAGCACTAGATAGCAATGACATAGACTCACAAGTCATTCCATGCCATGCATGCACACACACACACAAACGAGGACGACAAGCCGAGTGCAAGCCATAGGGTTGCACCAACAAACTCCCCCTCGGATTGTTGGCCTTAGAATCTGCTCCCCTTAGTTCAGAGCCATCCCAGAAATCTTGCAACATTTCCAATGCTGATGTTCAACCAACCTCTTGGTCATCATATCAGCAGGCTGCGCCGTCGTCTTCACGTAGTGCAACTCCACTTCACCCGCGGTTACCATGCTCCTCACCCAATGCCACTTCACCTTCATGTGCTTGGTAAGGCCATGAAGAACGGGGTTCTTAGCCAATGCAATAGCACCCTAGCTATCACAGTAGAGTGGGGTAGGTCCTTGCTGCTCCTCCCCCAATTCAGCTAGCAAACGCCGCTGCCACACAACCTCCCTTATGGCGCGGAAGAGTGCCATGTACTCGGACTCCACTGAGCTCAATGCTTGGTCCACTTGCTTCTTGCTCTCTCAAGCTGTTGGGCCTCCACCAACACAGCAGATGAAGCCTCCCACACTTGTCATGTCCTCTGGTTCTGATGCCCAAGATGCATCAGAGAAGGCTGTGAGAAAGAGCCTCCCGGGTTCGACTCCATCCGCACCCTTTTGACACCTTTGTGCTGCCGCAGAGTATTGCAGTCCAGCAGTTGCTGTTTGGCCAAGGTACTTGGCCACCCTCTCTCCTGCTACTACCTACTCTTCATTAGAGCATTGGACAACCCTAGCCAGCTGCCCGGTAGCAAAGGCTGCATCCGGCCTTGTGTGAACGGCCGGATACATGAGGCTGCCCACCAAGGAGTGAAAACGGCGCCTCTTCTCTTCACCAACACTTTCCTCCGCTGGTCCTTTCACAAAATTGAACCCTGAGGGAAGAGGAGTAGCCACATGACCTTCACTCTTCCCAAAGTTTGCAGCCAAGGCATCCAAGTACTTCGTTTGATGCACTCGCATCCACCGCTTCTCCACATCTCGCTCAATGTGAAGCCCAAGGTAGTAGTTGACGTCACCAAGGGTCTTGCACTTGAACTTGTCTTGAAGCTTCAGCATCACCTCCTTCACAAGGTCAGAGGAGGGTGAGAATACACTGAGGGAAACAACCGTCCGGATGTTTGGCACTAAGTTGGGTTTTTAGGCTTTGAGACTACTGTATGGTAAACCTGCAAGATGCACGGTGGTACACGTTGGGAGAGGCACAAAGTGGATGCGTTCACTGCACTGAGAACTAGATTAGTACATTGGATCTAACTCATACTCCAAAAGATATACAACGAGTACATCCGGACAGTTTTTTCCCAGGACAAAGAGCAAACTTCCTAACAACGTTTCTAGTACCTAGTCCACCTACTCTTGGCGTTGATCACCATCCACACCCTCCTAGGCATGTTATCTATGTGGTTAGTGCAGACCTTTGCATGAAGCTTCTCGCACTCTTCCTTGACCCACCATTTTGCATAAGGGGGTGAGCACAAGGAAAATTGCGAAGTATTTGAGCGTATGCATAAGTATTGTGCACGAATTCAGATTGAATGTAATCTCTGAGACTAGCCAAGCCGAAGGGTGTCCAAAGATGCCATTAGTTGAATGGTCTTGGCTTATCATGGGTTGTTTTCGTCGAATCAGAGTAGGGTGAAATCACGAATAGAGTGGCAAAATCTAGCATACCCGCCACGAAACTTAGGGTAACAGAGCACGGTCGATTGAGCATCCTTTCATTGTTAGAATCATGTTAAAATCCGCGAGTCTAGTGACAGTGCATCAGTTGAAGAAGTCTTTACTGTTTGGGAAGAATATCAGGGTTGAGGTCTGGTGAGGAAGAGGGGCACTCCAGAGCTACATATCCATGCTCTCCGAGCCATTCCAAGCTTAGGCAGGGAAAATGACATGGAATGCCTTGGAGAGCATAAGTATGTTGCGCTGGAGTGACCCTTTTTCTCACCAGACCTCAATCCAGATATTCTTCCCAAACAGTCGAGGTTTCTTCGACTGCTGCCCCGTCACTAGACCCGCGTATTTTAACATGGTTCACACAGTGAAAGGATGTTCAGTCGACCGTGCTCTGTTACCCTAAGATTCGTGGCGGGAATGCTAGATTTTGCCACTCTATTCGTGATTTTACCCTAGAACGATACGACGAAGACGACCCATGATAAGCCGGGACCATTTAACTAATGGCATCTTTGGACACCCCTCGGCTTGGCTAGTCTCAGAGATTACATTCAATCTGAATTCGTGCACAATACTTATGCATACGCTCAAATACTTCGCAATTTTCCTTGTGCTCACCCCCTTATGCAAAATGGTGGGTCAAGGAAGAGTGCGAGAAGCTTCATGCAAAGGTCTGCACTAACCACATAGATAACATGCCTAGGAGGGTGTGGATGGTGATCAACGCCAAGAGTAGGTGGACTAGGTACTAGAAACGTTGTTCGGAAGTTTGCTCTTTGTCCTGGGAAAAAACTGTCCGGATGTACTCGTTGTATATCTTTTGGAGTATGAGTTAGATCCAATGTACTAATCTAGTTCTCAGTGCAGTGAACGCATCCACTTTGTGCCTCTCCCAACATGTACCACCGTGCATCTTGCAGGTTTACCATACAGTAGTCTCAAAGCCTAAAAACCCAACTTAGTGCCAAACATCCGGACGGTTTTTTCCCTCAGTGTATGAGGATGTCATTCACATAAACCACCATGAAGCTCCTTTGCTCCCCCTCGCCAAGCATGAACAATGATTGATCGGCCGTTGAGGGAGTGAAGCCGATCAGCTCCAAGACTTCCCGCAGCTTGATGTACCATTGCCTAGGGGCTTGCTTGAAGCCATAGAGTGCTTTCTTCAGCTTCCACACTCTGCCACTCCCATCATTGTACCCCTCTGGCTGCTCCATGTACTGTAGGTCTCTTCCTCCAAAACGCCGTTGAGGAAGGCCGTTACAATGTCCATTTGCTTCACCACCCATCCTTTGATGGCCGCCGCGGCGAAGAGAGTTCGAAGTGTTGTACCCTTCACCACGGGAGCATATACTTCATTGTAGTCCTTCTTCTCCTGCTGCTGGTACCCCTTGGCTACAAGTCTGCTCTTGTAGCGCTCAATGTTGCCGTCGGCGTCGGTCTTGCGCTTGAAGAGCCACTTGGAAGAAATCGCCTTACGCCCCGGAGGTAGGTTCACCAAGTCAAACGTGTCGTTCTCGATGATGCTCCCCATTTCTTCATCTGAGGCCTTCTTCCACTCCTTCCCATTGGGGCCCTCCCAAGCCTCCTTGGGATTTGTAGGCTCCCCCGGTATCTCCACCGGAGAGAAGAAGGCAAAAGCGCACTCCTCGCTTTCATCTTCCGCATCATCGCCTAGCATGAGAGCCGAACCGGTCAAGGTTGAGTTGGCTGGTCCTCCAAGCCGGTCATAGCTCAACCTATTAGGGGACTGAGTCCTCCTTCTCCCCCTTCCTTCCTCCTCTACTACAGGGGCTTGAATGCTCTCATGGCGTTGCGGTAAATCTGGTCGGTTCCCGCGAGCACTTGTAGCACGAGGCGGAAGTGGCGGTGCACGCTCATCACCTTGCTGCACCTCCTCCTCCTCATCCCCATTCATTTGGGGAGATTGCCTCGTGATAGTGCTGCTGCTACTCAGCTCCAAGGGCAGCTCCATTTGCTCCAAGCCGGTACTCTTCACCTCTCCAAGCCGCACCCCAATCTTCGCTTGGTTCTCCGCCTTCCACTCCTTGTACGGTAAGTTCTCCATGAACTTGCAATCTCTGCTCACCAAGAACTTCTTGGTAAATGGGTCCCAAAGAAGCCATCCCTTGCTGTTTTGAGCCATGCTCAGGTGCACGGCCCATGTTGCCTTGGCATCAAGCTTGTTGTGCCGAAGTTTCTTAGGCACAAGTGCCATGCACATGCACCCGAACACCCGAAGCATATCCACCTTCGGCTTCCTTCCAATCCACTCCACATAGGGCACCGATTTGTCTTCTCCCACATGAGTCAAGGCTCTGTTCTTGGCCACACAAGCATGCCGCACCGCATCCGGCCAAAAGTAATTGGGTAGACCGGCTTCAATGAGAAGTCCCCGAGCCGTCTCCGTGAGTGTCCGATTCGCACGCTCGGCGATGTTGTTCATTGCAGGAGAGTAGGGCATGGTAAGAGAGTGCCTTATGCCCTGCTTCTTCAGCCAAGTTGAGAAATCCTTGCTCAGGAACTCTCCCCCACGGTCAGTGCGAATCGCCTTCACAAGCCGGTCTTGTTGCCGCTCCACCATCGGCAACCAATCGGTCTTCACCGTTTCAGCTACGTCACTCTTCTTGGGCAGCACATACACCCAATTAATGCGAGTGTAGATGTCCACAATGATGAGGAAGTACTCTGCTCCAGCAGCTCCAAGCTTCAAGGGGCCCACCACATCCATCACCACCTCATCAAGTGGTGCCTTTGCCGTTGTCTCCGAGCTATGGAACGGGTAGCAGGTGAACTTGGCTTGCATGCATGTTGGACAGCCAAGCACCTCATTGGGCTCCCCCTTGACACGTATCCCACTGACCATCTCTTGCTTAACTATCTGCTGCAAAATAGGCAATGCCACATGCCCCATTCGCCGATGCAAGGTCAGCCAATCACACTCTCCCGTAGCGGAAGTCGGGTTGGAGAAAGCGGCACTCGCAATTGTGCCCCACAAGCTCTCTCCTTTCTCCTTCGCCGCTGCTGCGTTGCTGATCTTAGGCTTCTCCTCCTCATTTCCACCACCTTTGGCTGCTGCACCACTCTCCTTGGGTTCACACGCCTTGCTCGTCTCTCCAAGGTTGCACTACTTCGTGTCACTCTTGGTGTCACTTTGCCTTCCGTGATCACCGCCACCAACCGCTTCACTCTTGGTGCTGACACTTGCTGCCACTTGCCTCCCCTTAGGCATGGGGACCACTGGGATTTGCCACATCTCATTGTAGATGTCCCTGTTCTCATGAAGGTCCCAAAGCTTCCGCTCACGAAGCCTCGCGGTATATGTTTTGGAACCCTTGGAAGATGTGTCCATGCCGGCCTGTTGCAAACGCCGAACGGAAATCAGGTTGGCTGTTGGATTGGGCACCAAAAGCACGTTCTTGAGGCTCACCATCTTCCCATCAGCACCCTTGAACATGGCCTTGCCCATGCCTTTCACCTCTGCTCGCTGCCTTAAAGGCGATGTAACATGCTTGACCGGCGACGGTTCGAGTTCAGTGAGCAAGTCCGCACGAGGTGTCATGCTATAGGTGGCGCCGCTATCGATCACCCAAAAGTCCAGAGAGTGGGGGGTGACCTTTCCCACAGTAGCTGGCTGCTCAAAGCCTTCCACACCTCTTGCTGCAGCTGCCGCTTGCGTGGAGACAAAGAAGAATTGGCCCGGGTATCGATCTTCACTCGAGTCCTTGTCATAGTCTCCACCTTTCATGCTTGCCGCTTCGCTTCCACGACCACCATGGCCTCCACGACCTCTGCCTCTTCCTCCCCTTGCTCCTCTGCCCTCTTGGCCTTGAGAAGGGGTCCATCCATCAGGCAATCTGAAGCAATCTCTTCACATGTGGCCGGTCTTGTGGCAAAAGTGGCATTCGCCATCAAATCGACCGCGCCCACGCCCGTAGCCATTGTTGCTGTTGTTGCTGCCATATCCTCCATTACCACGGCCTCCATTGAAGTTACTGCTACCAAATCTTCCTCCTCGCCCTCTGCCCCTTCCACGGCCATGACCACGGCCCATGCTTGCAACTCCGGCACCATCGGGACCCGCCAATTCGCGACCCGCTATCGGGACCCGCCAAATCTTCTTGTAAGATTTCCCAATTCACATCTTTGAGTGAGAGACGGGGCAGATCTCGATTTAGGTTGATGATGAGCGAGGACCATGAGTCCGGAAGTAAGGCCAGCAGCTAGGTCTTCTTTTGAAGGTCACTGTAGTTCAGATCAGCTCCTTCGAGCCGTGTCAACAAGTCGAAGAATTTCTGCACTCCTTCCTCCACCGGTTTGCCTTCGTCAATTCGAAGTGCCGCCGTTTGCCGCTCTAAGACCACAGCCATTGCTGCTATTGCAGGAGCGTGTACACCCTTGAGAGCAGCCCATGCCTTTGGTCCCTTTGCTGGTTCACGCTGAAAAGGCTTGATGTGACGGATTTGGCTGCTCCCCAACGCTTGCCCAAGTAGAAGGTAGCCTTGTGCGCTCTTCTGCACCCACGGGCTCTTCTCCGGGTCGTTCTCGGGGCGCTTCTCCGTTCCTTCCATCACCTCTAGCAGATCATAGTGGTCAAAGATGTTCTCCATCTTGAAGGACCACTCAACAAAGTTGTCACCGTTGAACTTGTCAAGGCCAAACACTCTAGGCTCATCCCTAGAGGGTCCAAGGCTAGGTTGCACCAGAGCAACGGGTGGATCTTGATGTTGACCTTGTGCTTGGGCGTCTTCTCTGCCTCCAGCACCTCTGCCACCCCCTTCCTCAGGTCTAGGCATGGTCGAGACGGCTCCAAGGGGCTCTGATACCACTTGTTATAATCACAATAGGCTAAGATGTGCCTATAATGAGAGATAGTGAGCACAGTTGGATTTTCGTCAGACAGCTTCAAATATTGATAACAATCTGGTCGCTTACTTAAACAAGGATCAGGAGCGCGTTGCTGTTGTCTATCAGCAGCAAGTTGAATCATGAAATTCCATCAAGATTTGACGAGGCTATGGCGGTTTGACTGGCAGGAGGTATAGCAGCCACTATAGTCTTAGAAGTACTCACTTAGCAAGAAGAATTCGAGAGAGAGATGGTTCCCAGCCTCTACATACCCCAAGTGCCGAGGTCCATGTTGGTGGTACACCACCACAGAGTCCCCAACCTTGAGGAGACTCGAAACAAACCCAACAAGGGGCTACACCGAATGAAATGTAACACTACTTGAAGTAGCATTACTATTTTTACTATTTTAATATTTGTCCACGTCCCTTGACTGCCCCCCCTAGACACGCTTTTCGAAAGGACAAAGACTCGCTACAATGCTGAGAAATTCGGGGTTCGCTAAGAAACCTTGCTGAGCGATCAGAGTTTACCCTTACAAAAAGCCTGAAAAAACAGGGTGTGTCATTTACAAAACCCTACACAATCAGGGTAAGTACCGAGAAACTCCCTGTTTTTTTCCTGAATCAGGAAAATTTTCCTGACAAGTCATTCCATGCCATGCATGCACACACACACACAAACGAGGACGACAAGCCGAGTGCAAGCCATAGGGTTGCCCCAACACAAACAGCGGCAGCAGAGTGGCGGCGCGGAAAGCCCCCGAAATGGGGACGGGAAGGGACAAGAGGGCGAAACGAGGGAGATAGCATGGTGGAAGGATGGGACAGGAGGAGGGATGGAGCGAGACCATACGGGGGTAGTGGGGTGACTTCTGGGGGAACGGAGGTTGATTGTATGTGGAAAATAGAGAGGCGGAATGTGGAAGAGGGGGGACTGTAAGGGTGGAGGTTTAGAGTCACCTGGGGGGTCATGGAGGGTGGCGGCGAGGGGGAAAGAGGGTAACAGGAGGGGAGATGAAGGGTGATGGCAGGGGGGAAGGAGCCTGGAACCAGGGGGGAATGGAGGGTGGTTGCGAGGGGGAAGGAGGGTAATAGGAGGGGAGATGAAGGGTGGCGGCAGGGGGGAACGAGCCTCGTTGCTGCACCTCGACTCCCCTCTCATTTCCCCCCTCTCTCACCTCGTTGCTGCACCTCGACTCCCCTCTCATTTTCCCCCTCTCTCACCTCGTTGCTGCACCTCGACTCCCCTCTGAGTTCCCCCCTCTCTCATCTCGTTGCCGCACCTCGACTCCTCTTTTGGATCCCTCCCTCCCATGCTCCCCTGCTCCCATGCTCTCATGCTCCCGTGCTCCCATGCTCGCATGCTCCCCTTGCTCCCCTGCTCCCATGCTCCATTGCTCGCATGCTAGAATGCTCCCCATACTCCCATACTCCCATGCTGCCCTGCTCCCATGCTCCCAAGGGCCCGTGCACTCATGCTCCCATGCTCACATGCTCTCATGCTCCCATGCTCCCCTGCTCGCATGCCCTCCGTACTCCCATGCTCCCATACTCCCCCTGCTCCCATGCTACCATGCTCCCATGCACCCATGCTCCCATACACCCATGCTCCCATGCTCCCGTGCTCCCATGCTTCGGGCTGCTGTCTCAAGTTGTGCAACTCGTCATGCACGTGTTTCCCCCCCCCTAAGATCTTCCCGTCGGCTCTCATTTCTGCATTTCCCTCAGTTTTGTATGTGCTCTCCTGGTCTTTACCCTCACCTGTGTTCCCGCATGTTCTGTCGTTTTCGGGCCATGTGCGGCACTGGCTCCTTTCCGTGATGCCCGGGGGAAATTTGCGTCGACTTGCCTTCCTGCTTTATCTGTGCATCCCAAAATTCTGCGAAGGCAAAGCGGCCATTTACGATGAAGGGTAAGGCACATCTTCGCGGTTTGCCATTGCATACCTGTGTATGCCTGTTCTTTCGTCTTGTTTCATCACAGCAGCCGTGCCAACTTGCGATGTCTCTTATCCTGCCGGAGGTTCGGGTTGTGTCCCGCCAACACTCTTTTTGTGAAGCGTTTCTCTGGTCCGGGCTCTGACTGCCTAACTGTAAGAAGCGTAAACTGGTTTTGTTTATTTTTCCTTTCCCTGTGTTTTTTCTTTTTGAGCAGTTTTGCTTATTGCTTTCTGTTTCCATCCTTACTGTGCAGATTATGTATACTAAGTTTGGTGATTGTCACCTCCACGGAGTACGAACC